AAGCAGAAAAAAGATTATATGTGAATCTATGAATTTCCCTTATATGCCTTTTGCCTTTTCCTTTGAGTAGATAACAAATATATAACAAAATCAACATGTTGCTTTCAAAGCTATCCCGCTTGTCTGTGTCTCCCTCTGAATTTCATTCTGTTCTCTTCTGTGCACTCTTAAAAAATGCATCGAAGATACTCTTTTCTTTCTTATCTTCTTTTTTGGCAACATTGTTGCTACTCCACTCTCCACCCATGTTTCCAAGTTCCTGTGCCCCAGTAAAAACATACTATTTGTATCAAGTAAGCATAATCAAGCAAAATAAAATCACATATTTGCCAAAAGCACATGTCTTATGCAGCACCTTGATTCCATCTTCTTTGAAGATCAACTGCATTTATTGATCAGCCAAATGCAGAAAGAGGTACAAAAGTTCAGTAAAGAAAATAATTCCTTAAAAATTAGAATTGAGCAAATGGAAGTTAATGACTTTATGAGAAATCAAGAAACAATAAAATAAAACCAAAAGAATGAAAAAACAGAAGACAACATCAAGTATCTCACTGGAAAAACAACTGATCTGGAAAATAGATCCAAGAGAGATAATTTTAAAATTATAGGACTACCTGAAAGTCATGATAGGAAAAGAGCCTAGACATCATCTTTCAAGAAATTATCAAGGAAAACTGCCCCAATATTCTAGAAACAGTGGGCAAAGTAGAAATTGAAAGAATCCACAGATCACCTCCTGAAAGAGATCCCAACATGTAAACTCCCAGGAATATTATAGCCAAATTCCAGAGCTCCCAGGTCAAGTAAAAAATATTGCAAGCATCCAGAAAGAAACAATTCAAGTATCATGGAGCCACAGTCAGGATAACACAAATTTAGTAGCTTCTATATTAAAGGATTGGAGGCCTTGGAATATGATATTTTGGAGAGCAAAGAAACTAAGATTACAACCAAGAATCATCTACCCAGCAAAACCAAGTATGAATCTTCAAGGGGAAAAATGGATATTCAATGAAATAGAGGACTTTCAAGCAGTCTTCATGAAAAGACCAGAGCTGAATAGAAATTTGACTTTCAAATACAAGACTCAAGAGAAGTATGAAGAGGTAAATAGGAAAGAGAAATCATAAGGGACTTATTAAGGTTGAACTGTTTATGTTCCTACAGGGGAAGATGATATTTGTAACTCATAAGAACTTCCTCATTATTAGGGCAGATAGAAGGAGTACACATAGAGAGTACAGTTGTGAGTTGAATATGAAGGGATGGTATCTAAAAATATATAATTAAAGGGTGAGAGGAATGTACTAGGAAAAAGGGAAAGGGAGAGGTAGAATGGAATAAATTATCTGACATAAAAGAGGCAAGAAAAAGCTTTTACAATGGAGGGGGAGGTGAGGAGGAGTGAGTGAACCTTGCTCTCATCAGAATTGGTTCAAAGAGGGAATAACACACACACTCAATTGGGTATAGAAATCTACCTACAGAAAAGTAGGAGGGGAAGGGATAAGAGAAGTGGTGATAGAAGGGAGAGCAGATTGGGGAAGGAGGCAGTCAGAAGCAAAACACTTTTGAGGAAGGACTGGGTGAAAGGAGATAGAGAATAGAATAAATGGGGGGGTAATAGGATGGAGGGAAATACAGTTAGCAATATAACTGAAAAAAAATTTCAAGCAAGTTTCTCTGATAAAGGCCTCATTTCTCAAATATATATTGAACTGAGTCAAATTTATAAAAATAAACCATTCCCCAATTGATAAATGATCAAAAAATATGAACAGTTTTCAAATAAAGTAATCAAAGCTATCTATAGCCATATGAGAAAAAAAATGCTCTAACTCACTATTGATTGGAGAAATGCAAATTAAAACAATTCTAAGGTACTACCTCATACCTATTAGATTGGCAAATAGAACAGAAAAGGAAAATGACAAATGATGGAGGGGATGGGAGGAAATGAGGCATTAATGCATTGTTGGTGGAGTCGTGAGCTGATTTAATCATTCTGTAGAGCAATTTGGAACTATGCCCAAAGGGCTATGAAACCATGCATACCCTTTGACCTGGCGATACCACTACTAGGTCTGTATCCCAAAAGAGATTTAAAAAAAAAAAAGGAAAGGGAGTTATATGTACAAAAATATTTATAGCAGCTCTTTTCTGGCAGCAAAGAATTGGAAATTGAGAGGATGCCCATCAACTGTGAAATGGCTGAACAAGTTGTGTTATGTGATTGTGATGGAATACTATTGTGCTATGAAAAATGATGAGCAGGATGCTCTTGGAAAAGCCTGGAGAGCTTTTCGAAAACTGATGCAAAATGAAATGTACTGTGTAAAAAGTAACAGCAATATTGTAAGATGATCAGCTGTGAATGACTCAGCAATACAATGATCCAAGACAACTCTGAAGGACTTAGGATGAAAAACGCTATCCATCTCCAAAGAAATTACTGATGCTATCTAAATACGATGGAAGAGCATTTTTTGGCTTTCTTTGTTTTTCTTGAGGTTTGGCATTTTGGGTCTGTTTGTTTATTTGTTGTTTTTTTGGTCTATGTTTTCTTTCACAACATGACCATTATAGAAATGTTTTAAATGACTATGCATATATAACTTATATCAAATTGCTTGCCTTCTAAATGGAGGGGGGGTGAGGAAGGCAGGAAGGGAGAAAATTTGGAACTCAAAATTTTTAAAATGTTAAAATTGTTTTTACATGCAATGGAGGAAAAATAAAATAAGAAAAGAAAAAAGAAAAAGGGTTTCTGAGTCCCCTCAGACATTTACTAGCTGTGTGACCCTGGTCCAAGTCATTTAACCTCTGTTTACCTCAGTTTTTTCATCTATAAAATGTAATTGCACCTACCTCCCCGGGTCATTGTGAGAATCAAATAAGATCATAATTGTAATGCACTTAGCACAGTGCCTAGCACATGGTAAGCACTAAATAAATGTTAGCTATCATTATTGTTACTGTTTTATTTGTTTCCTTCTTTCCCTTCACTAAATTAAATTAAACCAGTAATTTTGGGCATTGCTTTTCCAACAAGGGTTCTTGAAATTTAGAATACGTACAATTTGATGCCTGGATAAATGTCATAACCATGATCACATAGAAGACATGTCATAGCTAATATGAAAAGGAACTTGGAGTAACGAGCTAAATGTGGACCAACAAAAAAAAAGTGTTAGAATCTTCACTTTGAAGTTTCCAGATATGATGGGATTTCTCTAGGATGGCTTTCTTCTTCTCTCTCCAATAGCACAATCCTACAGTTTAGTAGATTGCCTTCAAGAGTTCCTATGGTTAAAGATATGAACAAAGAGTTCTGTAAAATAAGAATTGCACACTCTCAATGATCATAAGAAAAAATGATCTAAATCACTAAATAAGAGGAGATTCAGATTTTTTATTAAAACTGAGGTTTCACATCACATCCAAAAAGATGACCTTAGCAAAGATTGTAAAAAATGTTATTCCTCTGTTCATTATTTCCCATTTAATCTGTTTATAGCTTACTTTGCATTTATTTGTTTGCACATTTTCTCCCCCATTAAATTGCAAGTTCCTTGAGGAAAGTCATCATTTTCCTGAAGGAAGGAAGGAAGGAAGGAAGGAAGGAAGGAAGGAAGGAAGGAAGGAAGGAAGGAAGGAAGGAAGGAAGGAAGGAAGGAAGGAAGGAAGGAAGGAAAGGAAAGAAAGAAAAGAAATAGACTCACAGGCACCAAAATGTTCACAACGGTGCTTTTGTAGTTCCAAAGAACTGGAACTATGTAGATATCCATTAATTGGGCTGAATAAATGGTATGTAAATATAATGAAATATTACTGACACATAGTATGTGCTTAGTAAATACTGATTCATTGATTAAATTTCAGATTCAGTTGCTGTGGTTTTTTTTTTAGTTTGACTGAACTGCTTTTTCCCCCTTTTTTATTCTTCATTATAAGTGATGGTTATCTGGTAAGAAGATGTTGAGAGAAATATAGGGAAATAAATGTGATGCAAAAGCAAAAGTTATCAATATTTTTAAAAGTTACTGTGGCTGTAGAGAGACTGTAGTCTCTTTATATGAGACCCAGCAATGAGCTTATCCAAACAGTTAGGCTGGTCCTCAGACAACAGACAACCAGTGTTTCACCATGCCCATCCATACCCAAAGACTTCACCTTGGCAGTAATTGCCAGAGCTTGTGCTACATTGAGGAACCCCAGGATCACTTCCACTCTGGGGTGGGGCATCAGGGCAGTACTTTAGTGGAGGTTCCATATGATAAAAAAAGGAAAATGCTATTCATGGCATGCTATGGATACTTGGGCCTTCTCTTGGGAATAATTTCTAATAACATCTCCATTGATCAATACTCCTGCATGAACTACTGCTTGCTTCCTCATCAAATCTTCTTAGTCTCCCCTTTGTGGGGGAAAGAGAGACTGTCATAGCTAAGTCAGTCTGGCAGCCAGAAAACACTATATAGAGTCATATAACAAATAGAAAGTATCCCAGACATCCTGGATCATCTTATTTGTCTTTCTTCCTCTTAACCAAATTCTTCTTCTCTCCTCCCTCTGAGCACTTCTGAAAGGCTCGCTGATAATAAAGAGATACTAACACTCCAGCTCCCAGGACCTCAGGTTTATCAATGCTTAGCAATCCATCTCTTCCCAAGTATTTCAGTTTATCTTCAATCATAGAAAAAAGCTTAGAGATGCCTTTAAAATAGAAATGTTTATGATTTTTGTGTCACTAATCTCTTTGACAGTCTAGTGAAGCCTAAGGTACCTTCTCAGAATAACATTTTTAAATAATTTCAGGGAATGCTAAGTTTTAGTTAAAGGTTAGCAAAAATAATGATGCATTTTCCCATCCAAGTTCATGGACCTAAAGGTGTCCGTAGTCCTCCAGGTTAAGAACCCTTTAAAAGTTTTCACACGATGAGATCTATCAATAAGGATTAAATTTTCACCCCAGAGTCAAGTTGACAGTGTGTTACCTCTCCAGAAGCAGCATTCTCTTCTATAAGGCCTCTTCTATGCCACAGTTCAGAACACAAAGGAGAAAAAGTCTAAAACCCAAAAAGGGAACTTATATTAAAGAAGGCTTTTTAAAATTTTTTTAGATTTTACTCAAAGAAAAACAAGCACAAAGTGAAAGGAGAGATGGGTAAGGGGAAGGGTTAGGAGGAGTGTCTCATTAAATGGTCCCAAGACAGATGTGCACAACCTGATGCAAAGTGAAGTGAGCAGAACCAAGGGTACCATTTATACATTAACATCAATACTGTAAAAAGAACAGCTTTGAAAATTTTTAAAACTCTAACCAATGCAATGAATGACCATGATTCCAGAGAAACAGTTGATGATGAATGTTTCCCACTTAAATAATTATCTACTTGGTCTTTCCTGTGTGGATGTTCAGGCCAAACTCTTTTGAATGATTACAAACTTTTTCTAGGAAGCTCTGCAGTCTTCTGGTGCTTGATGTAATGTCACCCACAGACAGAAATATCTAGAGAATTTCGCTATCCATAGGGAATCTCTCTTCAATTTGGACTCCATGTTGGATCTTTCATAATACTGATGAGTTAGGTAACAGATACTGTCATCCCCATTTTAAAGATGAGAACACTGAAGTTCTGAAAAGTTAAATGATTTTCCCATTGTTACATAGCAAGTGTCTGGGTAGGGTATGAACCAAGGTCTTCCTGACTCTAAGGCCAGCATACACTCCTCTGTGCCATGTTGATTCTCAAGGATTCAGAGTGTGAAGAGACCATTCAATCCAATATTTATTTTACAAAAGAGGTAAAGTGACTTGCTCAGTACCACACAGATACATATTAAGTAGGAGAACTAGGAATCAAACAGCATGACGATAAAGTGCTAAACTTGGAGTCAGGAAGTCTTGAATTCAGATCTCATCTTAGACACAAACTGCATGACCCTAAGCAAGTAACTTTCTCATTCTCAGTTTCCATATCTAAAATGAGGCTACTGTCACACTTGCCTCATGAGGTTCTTGTGAGGATCGGGTGAGATAACATATGTAAAGTACTTTACAAATCTAAAAGGCTACATGGAAATACTATCATCATCATCATCATTATAATTATGCTCCAAATCCTGTGCTCTTTCCACCATAATATATTTGATCCAATTTGTAGGTTCAAGGCATTTAAAGCCACAAAGGACTTTAAAAATCAATATCAACCTATTCCCACTTTACAGATGTGGAAACTGGGACCCCATGAAGGAAATGACTTGGACAACATCATACAAGTAATAAAGGAATAGACTCTGGATTTGAAACTTCTGACTGGGTTATTTCCACTATGTCACAATGCATCAGTCAGGACTGATGTTATAATGACCCAGCTGAGATTTAAGTAGAGGTCTCTTGAACTTAAATCATCACTTAAAAAATCAACTTCTTTTGGCTTTGCTCTTTAATATTTCTTTCCTAGGCTCCACCTATGATAAGAAATGTCTTTACATTCTAAATTTAAGTCACATCTTTGTTGATAATTACAAAACATAACTCAGCTAGGTGGTACAGTGAGGTCAGGAAGACTCATCTTCCCAAGTTCAAATCCATCCTCAGATACTTACTAGCTGTGTGATCTTGGGCAAGTCACTTAACTCTGCCTCAGCTACCTCATCTGGAAAACAAACTGGAGAAAGAAATGGCAAACCATTCCAGTATCTTTGCCAAGAAAATCCCAAATGGGGTCACAAAGAGTCAGACACAAGTGAAAAAAAATTGAACACACAAAAAATAAAACTCACTTGTATCTACTATAATGACTACAGTGTCCAAGAACTACTTCTTTCTTATACAATTCTCTTATAAGCATTTGTAAAGATAATGATGGTCTGCTCATGACAATGGGGACAAGCTCACATGTGAGATCCTTTTCTCAAGGATGCCCTTCTGTGGAGCTTGGCACTTTGGCTCATCAGCCCATATTCAGGGCATAGTTAGCAAATCTGTCCCAACACTAAGTTAAAAGTTGGTTGTCAGCATTGAGTATAAAGCACATTCCTATCACCAGAAGATAATATAGACCTTTCTTGCCCTTGACTCCTATCCCCAAATATTCTACTCCTCATTCCCACAAAATGATTGGTCCCAGCAGTTTATTTTCTGAGTCTACCATTTTCCCCTCTCCCACATAATGTATAGTGCTCCTATACTGCCTTCTGACTGCCCAGAGATATCTACTCTGGTGCTACCCAGGCTGGTTTCCTCTGATTGCCCCTTGTGCTTCAACATTATCCCTGCTGCCCATCCTATTATTAAAATTGCATGTTTCAGTGCCCTTATTTCAAATAGTACTCATGATGATAAACTACCAAAGGGCATTAATGATTCATAACCATCAAAGGATGTTAGTACTTTTGGATATCTGGAAGCAACAAGGCACTGTGTCGAAGGAGTGATGCCCCAAAGGTGAAATTTCAGCACTTAGATAGCAGAGCTATTTTTGAGGTGGGAAACAAAGGTTATTCCAATTTTTTACAACCATGCCCACCATCATCCTCCAACATCTGAGCATATGAGGCAACTGAAAGTAATAACCTCTTTGGGATTAACTACCAGCTAGCAAGAGTTCCCTGATTCTTGTATCTCAGGAGCCCCAGAATGAATTCTAGGACCCTCATTATTGTCAAGGCCCTGTCTAGGTTGCTGGGATCATGTAGTGCTTGTGTGATGTCCCACCCACCCCGTATCCCCTGCAGTACCATAGTCACAGTCAGAGTACAAAAGCTACATGACTGAAGAACATGGGGCCCTCGGGGTACAATCTACAGGCAGGCAGGAAGCTAAAAATCCATTTTTGTTGACTTTACCTTGGCACACACAGGTTAACACATAAATCAAGTTATTCCAGTAGTACACTGTATTAGAAAGAACATTAGAATCAAGAGACCTGTTGCTTCAGTCCCAGCCCTGCCACAAACTCCTTTTATGATCAAGAGCAAATCACTTCATCATTCTTGGCCTCAAGTTATTCTTCTATATATAACAAAGGGGGCTGAACTAGATGATCCTAAAGATTTCTTCTATTATTCCAATCAGAAAGGCAGGGTAGTTAAGCTGTGGGGTCAGAAAGACATCAGCTGCTGTCCATGGTTCTAATGAAGACACCTACCTCTATTTTGTGCTGCCTATTGGCTGTAGATGACAGCAAGGAAACCCAGAATCTCTGGGCTGATATTTGTTATAGGCTGGCATGTTTTACCACAGTCGAAGAGGAGAGAGAATATAAGCATGAACCACATGAAGCTTCTGTGTGGCTAAGCAATGTGGTTTCAGGGGCCCTCTTTTACTTGTCTTTCCATCTGTATTTGCATTTGTCTGGGTCATGAGCTCCCTGGGGGAGTTTTATGTATTGGGATATGCTGCAAATTACCTGAAGACTCAGACACTTGGAACACCAAAAGTTCTGGGAAGTTATGACTTAGGGAGTCCCACTGAAAGTTGCAACCTTAACTTCACTTTCTGAGCTCTTCCCTATTCTTCTTGAAATGTCTTTAGTCAAGGTCAGATGACCCAGCCAATCAGACAACCCTAAATCCTGACACTTCCCAGCTCTAAAAACCTATTGTTCTAGTCTATGGTTCACTTCTTCATTGACATTCACTTTCTCTCCTACTTCAGTTTCAATGTGATTTGCTCTAAAAGATTTTCTAATCACTGAAGAGCTAAGTGAGACAATGAAGACTGGAGTCAGGAATATCCAAGTCCAAATCAGGCCTCATACACTCATACATTTACCCTCTGTTTGCCTCAGTCTCCTCAATAGTAAAATGGGGACAATAATAGCACCTACCTCGCAGGGTTGTCACGAGGATCAAATCCTCATCAAATGAAATAACATTTGTAAAAGCATTTAGCACAGTGCCTGGCACAAAAGAGGTATTATAGATGCCTATTCCCCTCTTTCTCTACTAAGGAATTAAGGTCCATTTAGCTGAGCCTTTTCAGTCTCCACCCCACACTCCTAATATTTTTCTGACCAGTAGTTTTCACTAAAATATTTCCAAATTCCCTTTCATCATTAATCCTATACCCTCTGATTCTACCATCTGGGTCTGCTCAATGCAGTCCTGTGGCCTCCATGCATACACACACACACACACACACACACACACACACACACACACACACACACATATCACCTTTCCTAGGCACTCATCTTCCTCACCTCACCTGAGTCTGTAGTCAATACTAATATTAGATTACATAAAACCCAACTTCACCTGATTCTCAACTGAGTACTAATATTAGATTACACAAAACTCAGTTGGTTAAAGCACAGTTTAATATGCATTAAACCCTAGCCAGCCTAGAACTATTCTCAATCTACATATGATAGGGAATGAAGGTAGCATTTGTCCCAAATTGCCCCATAATGGCCCATTGAAATGTCTGAAAAGTCAAAGTAGGTGAACACATACTCTGCCTACATGTAAGGCTGTCTTTACCCATTGTGTGCAATTTTAGGATCACAACCAGACAGGTTACACAGGGTCCAGGAGTGTGAGGACCAATTTAAGTAAGTGTCTGTTAAGCAATTATCAAATCCAAAATGTTGTCTAGGTGCTAGGAAAGATTTAAAGATTAAATAAAGCACAGTACCTTCCTGTGGACAGATAACAATCTAGTAGACCAAAATAAAAAAGAGATAATATCTTTTTTGATAAATCCAAAAGCTTCTATGGATGAAAAGGACAAAAAATGGAATCCAAAAGACTCTTCCAAAAAGTATAAAAAAGAAGTATGTGGAAACCGTTGGCTTCAAAATAATTCTACCATCAGTTCCCAGAGATTAAATTGGCCCCTGGCCATGCAGGAGCGACAGACGAAACATACTCTGCAGATGCTTTTCTCCCCCACAGATTCAGATGTGATCATTTTTAATGTGGTACTAGGCTTTACAATTGCAGTTTCTACTGCTGATCAGAGACATGATTCCTAGGATGCCTCCTTTCAGTTATCTAAGGAGTTTTCCAGCTCACTGACAGCTACCATTGTTCCGGGTCCTGTGATGTTTGTGTTTTT